ACTACCTCTCTCTCTCTCTCTCCCCCCCCCCCCCAACTACTTCCACAGAGCCTTTAAATCTATTAAGATGTTGCAGATTCATCAGGCCGGAGTTCGTGCCGGTGCAGTACGGAGGGCTGAGCCGGCCAGGGGACCTACAGAATGGCCCGCCCAAGCCCGCCACCGAGTTCACCATCAAGGGCGGAGAAAGAGTGAACCTTGAGATCGACGGCATTGAGGTAAGCTTATCCTGAAGCGGCGACACCGCCTTGGACACTGAGCAACGAGTAATGACCACTGCATTGTGGAGCAGGGAGGGGCAAGCATCACATGGGACATAGCGGTGGGAGGATGGGACGTGGACTACGGCGCCGAGTACGTGCCGAGCGACGGCGGAAGCTACACGATCATCGTGGAGAAGACCAGAAGGGTCCCGGCGACGGCGGACGAGCCGATCCACAACGTGTACACCGCCAGGGAGGTGGGGAAGATGGTGCTCTCCATAGACAACACCAACTCCAGGAGGAGGAAGGTGGCTGCTTACAGATACTTCGTCCGCAAACCATGTACTTAGTGCCTGCAGTTGTCTTCTTCCTAGAAACGCTTTTGGTTCACTTGCTTTTGCTCTTTCCATGTTGTTCTATTACAATCTACCGCAGTCAATGACTTCACATCCATGAAATAAGTAGAGTGATGATCTGTGACTTAATTGGTGTTACAAAGCAAGAACGAATACTCCCTCAAGCACATTATAATCTCAACCGCAGATAAACATAGACAGCATCAAACTCTCTCTCCACTCTCATTACATTGTCATGGGTTCTGAGAGATGGTGGAGTCTAAGCTTTTGTTTGCCGCTTTCTCGCCTCTCGAGAGGAGGCAGAGAGCGTTGGAGCAGCGGCAACTGCGGTCCACTTTGACCTAAGGCCATGGACTCTGCAACTTTATCGGAACCAGGTCGTCTTTATTACAGAGGAGGTCTCCTCCACCTTACCCTTCTTTTCCTACTCCCATTTGCATGCTCCTTACTGGCTCGGATTTGTCTTAATCGGGTTTATATTTTAAAAAGTAGAATCCGCGTCTGATCTTGGATTCGAGTAGAATAAGTGATCTGGATCCGTAAAGATGAACGGCTGGGATGCATTTCTACCGCTGCGATCAAAAAAGCCAACGGCGGGAGTAAATCGGAGGTTCAGCACACCGCGCACCCGAGAATGTGGCAACTTCGTTCCAAAAAAAGCCTTGAGCCTCTTTGCCCAGGTGAGTGGTAAGCTAAGCGAACCGGTCTTCAGACCCGGCTAAGTTCCGCTCACCGCCGTCTGGTCTTTCTGTGTCCGTGCCGATGCAAACCCCGACAAGAAGATAGTATCTATCCAAAGCTATCGTAAACAAACAGATCGGATAAAACCATTGACGTGTAAGCGATCGACTGGCGCACTTTTTCCTTTCCTCGTGGCACGCCTTCTTTCTTTTTATTTTCTCAATGATTACGCTTTTCCACGCGATCCTCTCTACCCAATGTATACCTGCTCGATCATTGTTCAGAAATATTGTTGTACACCTGTGGGTCCCAAACGAGCTCAGCCAGGAAAGTGAGCGTAAACCGTAAACCGGGAGAAAACGTAATTGTTGTTTCTAAAAGTATCGCACGTCTTCCAAATGGTCCCAACCCACCACGCGGCCGTCCACCGTTTCCTGGTCCCGAGAGTCTACGGTTTATAGCAACGCTTGATTGGAGAAGGCGTGGGCCCCATTTGATAACGAAAGGAGGTGGACAACTGTGGGTGACAGTTGAATGCGAAAAGGAGAAACGATGGGACTTCCGCTCCAACCTCTATCGTCACCGTCCATTTCAGATCACACGGTCAGCATCTCGTGTCCGCGGTAATAGAAATATCCTGTGGGCGGTCTGGTATTACCGATATTTTGATCCAACTCGAGGGGCTCATTCGTTGAAACGTTTTTATATATATGGATTCCTCTCTATCTTATCCATTCGTCAACCATCGGATATCGAAAGAGAGAGAGAGGGGAGGATAAGCAGTGCTCGAAGTAATGGAGGTGATGGCGAGGAGGACGAGGTCGGGGCTGAACCCGGACGCGGCCCCGTACGTGCCGGCGGCGCAGCGCGCGGTGGAGGACTTCTCGTCGGAGTGGTGGGATCTGGTGCATTCGTCCCCCTGGTTCGCCGACTACTGGCTGCGGGAGTGCTTCCACGAGTCCGTGCTCGACTTCTTCGAGGACGACGACCCCGAGCTGCCCGACGACATCAACGACGCCCTCTTCTCCTTGTCCGCTCCTCACCGTAAGCCCTCATCTCGCATCTCTCTCTCCTCCTCGATCCATCGCGTTGATCTCGTCTTTGTTGGAACAGAAAAGGAAGCCGAGGAGGAGGAGGGCGGAGGAAGGAACAGAGAGTTGATCACATGGGGAGCGGAGAAGTGGAAGGCGTCGAGGGGTTGGGCGGCGGAGGGAGCCAAGTACGCGGAGAAGGCGGCCAAGGTGGTGAGCGTGAAGCTGAGCCCGAGGACGATACAGCAGCCTAGGTAAACGGAGGAGGAGTGAAGTCGAGTGCAAGAAGAAGAAGAAGATGAAGAGAAGTGAGACTGTGAGAAGAGTCGCTTTAGATTTCCGCTTGTGCCTTCTGTACATATTCTGACGTGCAAATAAATTGTGCATTTCATTCTCCGAAAAAGGGAAAAAAAAACATGCCATATTTGTTGAAATTATTCCTTGAAATAAACTCTGGATTTCACCTAATAATCTGATCAATTGTAATTGAATTATTCCTTGAATTTTAAGGATTAATGTGCTAGATTTTGAATCTCTCACATGGAGGTGATGACGATGCAAGAGATGAGCGTTTCCCTCAAATATTGGTCTAATTGGATCATATCTATATTTATTTTATGTTTTTAATACACTATCATTGACTTCATCATATTCTCATCTTTTTCAACGATGATGAGATGTTTGATTTTTCAAAAGATTGTTTAGTATATATATATATATATATATATATTACTTTTGA